CCCCAAAACCCCAAAACCCCAAAACCCCAAAACCCCTATTGATATGAATTTATTGAATTTTAGCGTTTGACAGCCTGATGCTTATTCACTAATTATGAATATCTTTTGAGTAGATAGTCGTAGCTCTGAGGAACAAAGAATGAAATCAGTCCGTCTTTTTTCATCTTATCTTGATAAAATGGTTGCTTCCTGGTGTTATATTCTAATCAGTAGAGAGCAATCAGAAGACCATTTCCAATAATCATCGTTAACCAAAATCCAATTCCAAGGAGTCTATTGTTAGATTTAGTTAAGGCCATAAAGAATACTCCAATTCCTCCAAACATGACGAGCAATATTGGGAAGAAAAACTTAACTCAGCACACGATGATGACTTCATGAATAACAGCTGAGGTGAAGAAGACTCAAAACTTAGCTCCAAAACTACTAAATTTACCTTTGGAGAACCTGACAGAATCATTATAAACGTAGTAGAACAGCCATTCGTGGACAATAATGTTCCATTTTCTATAGTACGCTCCATAATTAGAAACATTCCACCAGTCCATGTAGAACTGTCTGTCTCCGAACAGAGTGATCTCTGCAAAAAGGTTCATCCAGGAATGAAGGATTCCGAAGAAAGCCAAAACCATGAATAAGATCCCTGCAATGCAAGAGGTGGTTATGACATCCTCTAGTGTGGCTTCATGCTCGAAGTACTTATCAAAAGTAGGGATCACCAACTCCTTAAACAAAGCAAACACATAATAAAAGCAGAGGTAAAATGATAGTAGATTAGCAAACAGATTGGTCTTGTTTGTACGAGCTCTCATAGGATACTCATCACGGTATACCAATGTTGGGATCCATAAGAAATAATTGAACCTTCTTATTTCCTCCAAGAGATCCCCTTTCTGGATATCTGGCATGTTCAGATCATCGAAAGTGACACCTTTTCTCTTAGCAAACTCAGGTACAAATTCTTTGTATTCATTAGGAGTAAGGTGCAACAGCTTCTCTCTGAAGTAGGAATGCATCTTCATGATGAGCCTTGCCATCTCACATGTGAGGATAAGTCCCCCGACAGGATTATCATTTAATGCAAATGATGCATAAATTGGATACGTCATTGAGCATAAGATGACGATTGAATAAATTGGTAAGTAAATGACGTAATTGAGTTTTAAACTCAAAATAAGATTCACAAGTATCACTACAGTGAAGCTGAACACATAACTTGGAATCCAAAGAATAATGACATCAAGGACGGTAATATGAGCGTCATAAAGAAGCGTCAAGTCAATGAAATGATGTCCCTTTTGAAGTGTATCATGTACAAGCATTTTGAAAAAGATCAAGATCAAAATGGCTACGAAAATATTGTATATTGTATGAGCCTCTCTCCCCTTTCTTGTGGACTCAACGAGGAGAGAATCTTTCTGTTCGAAGACTTTCTCACTAAAGATCGGCTTTTCTTTGGTCATCTCAGATACTCCAAGGAAATAAGAGCCAGATAAAGAAGACTGTTTCATTAAGCAATCTACATGTTGCGTCATCTTGTTCATAGATTTTTCCAACTCTTTTTGTAAAAGATCCTTTTCATGTTCCATCCTGGTGTGAAATGAAGCAAGGGTACTAGCTTTAGCTTCATTTATCTGAAGAATCTCTGCATGGTCGCTATCTGATTCAGAATATTTTCCAGAATGTTGTCTTCCAATGTATCCTTTTCCAGAGTTTGACTCTTTTGTTCCAACATTTTTGCTTGTCTCTAAATTTAAAGGTTAGGACTTTTGTTAGAACTAAAAATTAATTTAAATCAAAATTTTTAGTGAATAGATAAGATATCCTTACGGGTTTTATCATGCTTTTTATGGGCTGTTTTCTTTGCCATTCTTTGATATTATGGTGATTAAATTTAACGTCAATTTATGTCATCATGATAGGGGTTTTGGGGTTTTGGGGTTTTGGGGTTTTGGGGTTTTGGGG